TGCTGCTGACCGACCGTTATAGTGAGCTCGATAATAACCTTAACTATACATACATGTAATGGTGGGTGTAAATAAAAAACCTGGTTACATACGGTATGCATATAACGAATAATTAAAACAATTAACAATGTACTCATCTAATTAAGGGGCTGTTCATATGAGCCCGGCTACACGGGATTCATCGAGGCGTTAATTGATTTTGAGGCATTGAAAGGGGGCAAAACTTCAAGCTTAAAGATTACAGCTGTTTGCTAAGTGCCACAAGCCATTCCTGTTGAAATTCTCAAATTAGGCCAAACTGGTTGTTTCAATTTTAAATGTTTTGCATACTTATTAAATCAAAATATAGTGAAGTTGCTCTAGAAGATTTATCTAATGATATGTAAGAATACAATTGTTTCCATTTGCCAAAATCGATTAACGCCTCACTGAATCCCAGTTAGCTGGGCTCGTATGAACAGCCCCGAAGCAATGCTCAATTCCTATTCCTAAAAAATATTGCTTACCAGTCTTCCAACAAATAAAGTTTTCAATGCATCCGTGATTGCATTTGGATCAGTGTGAGGATCCCCTAAAATAATTAAAATAAATATACAGCACGTAAATTTCACAGTTTTTATGATGTTGAGTTTTGTCCCCTCTTAGTGGAGTACAAACCACTAAAACACTAGTGACTTTGTCCATCTTTCGTGGAGTGTTAAGAGTCAGTGGCAAATGATTTTGTTGCCTGACAAATTTTGGTATTAATACAGCTTATTCCTGTTTTAGTTGACTTAAAGGCAATATAGTTAGGCTTTTTTTTTAAATTATATTGGTACAAAAATACAGGTATGTTCACAATGCACTTCATTTTGTCAATGTTAAAGGTTCGGTGCTAAGTTCAAGTGCAAAGTAAACATCACATAACATTTATTTAATCACTACTCTTCACCAACAGCCTGCAACATAAAATAAAACAATTTAGAACATTTATAACAATTTAGGATCAACTTACATTCTTCTGCAGCTTTCTCCAAATCCTCTTTGTTCTTTCCAATTCTTTCATCGCTTCTCTATTTTCAAAAATACAACATGTAAGCTACAGCTCTAGTTAAATATTTTACCATCAGCCACCACCATCATATTGTATACTAGATATATATATATATATATATATTATGTTATAAAATAACAACTGTTTATTCTGACAACTGATCCTCTCACAAGTTTATTGAACTTCTTTTAAAAAGTTGCAATGATGAGAACAGTGGTGGATCCATCCTTTTATCTTACCCCCTTCATACCATTTTGATACTGACATTAATATAATAATACTAATTAAAGTTCAAATTTTTCTGAAATGTAAGCAAAGCTCAATACAACTTTTTGCCCTATCTCAAAAATCATAAGTCATAATATTTTTAAATAACTCAAAAATGAAAGTGTATTTTTAAGATAAACTCTGCATCTTCAAGACTTCTTAAGCACTTGAAATAAAATGCAAATAGGTCTAATTACTAGCAGAGACATATTACAGAGAAAAGTAAACTTTAAAAGAAACGCTAGTGCTTTCATGACAAATTAAAATGTAATGAGTACTATTAAAGCTGTGTATTTGATCTTTGTTTTTAATCCAGAGGGATATAAACTTCAGCTCTAAAATCGCAGTGAAATGCATTTACATTTTTATAATTTCCTATTCAACAATGTGATCAGCTCAGCACCCGCTTTAACATTCTCAATTTAGAATTCAGCTCTTTAGGGATAGTGTGCCTGTATAGGCCAAAAGCAGAAATATTTTGAAACCGAATAAGGTTTTTCAAGCGCTGTTACAACCATTTTTTCATTTAGTGCACTAAAATATCCTTATAATACAGACTTTGAGTTGGAACAATGATTTGTATTGAGTGCGATGTCTTTATTTTCAACTTTTGACCTGACAGACCAGTCAATAGAAATTGACCAATGACGGTTTTCTTTGCTCTTTTGTTGACCAATTGTATTAAAGGAAAGTTTGTAAGCTAACCTACAGATTAGTGAAAGCACACTTAAAGTTGCCTGCCTGCAGACTGGTCAAAATCAATAACTGGCCAATTGCATATTTTCAGCTTTGAAGATTGCCGACAGGCCATTCATACAGAAACTACTGACCTCAGCAATGAATACCCAAAGTAATGTTGCTCTATTAGTCTTGCAGTAATGACAGATTTGTATGAAAAATGTTTTTGATCGTAGGTAGTGATAATCTACGTTTGCTTTGATTTTGAAATATGGAACTTAGCAATTTCACAAATTTTCACCTATTTCACTTGACTGGTTTAATGTACCAACTTAAAATTTACCACCCTGAAACCAAAAACATACCTTTCTTTCTATTTTTTTAACTCTAGTTTCTCCACGAGTTGGATCAGGTGTGTCTTCAGGATCCTATGAAAAATAAGTAGAGTCGATTTTACTGACAGCACCTGCAAAACTTTTGAAGTGATTCAGTTTTTATAGATACCAAATTGGCAATGTACCTCTATACACAATCACATGTCAGTTGCTGAGGAATATGAAAATCAATGTCTCTTAGTTGGGGATTAATGTTGCTCAAAAGTTTTGCACATTCATTCAAGACTTGAAAATTAGAAAAATACAAGGTTTAACTAAATATATCTATCACTTGAAGCAGCACTAGAATTGCTGAGCTTGGGCAATTTTCAATGCAAGAAATGTGTGTGCATATAACCTTGAAATTTCAAAAATGTTATTGACTTTATTCTAAATAAATAAAAGTTCTACTTGAATTCTCCGAAATTATGAAAAAACCAAAATTCCCAAAAATCATTAGAAAAATAATATGTATAATTAAAAGCATTAATATGTTAGCATTTCTTGTATAAAAAATCTTATTAAAATCAATGCTAGTGAAAGCAAATCCAATTAAACACAATAGAAAAAGAAAGTTCATCAATTGATTAAATTAGACCTTCCATTCAATTACTTTACAAATGAAATCAAAATTCACATTCTGTGTACTCAAACAGATTGGGAATAAGTAACTTGTTAAGTTCAACTTAATGTAGCTGTCTACTTATATCATCTGGATTTATGACTGATTTAAAACAATGAGGTACAATAAACAATAGCTATTATATGACTTTAAAAATCAGAAAACCCAATCATAGATATGTATTTCTGTCAACTTGGTGATATAAAATATTTGGAATAAGAAAATATATTGCATCATATTTAACTTCTAGTACATCAAATTCTTTGACAAGCTTCACATGCACTTTATTGAAAAAAATTATGCTGATAAACCAATATTTTTCATTTCAATCACGTGGTTTTCACAAGAACAAACAAGGCAGGGAAAATTTTAATACGTATATTTCCTTGAACTGCAACATCAAAGTTTTCAAAATCTTGTATATCAGGTCGATTGCCAAACTACTGAATTGTTTGTTTCGTATAGAATACGCGATAACTACCCAATATTTTATAGTCAAATAAGGTTTGCATCCTATGGACTATAATTTCAACACATGTGAACAAAATCGAGATATCTGATTTTCATTCCTCTAGTGTTCAAAACGCAACAACAAAACCCACAGAGGTGTTTAAAATGTATTGCAACATTAAATTATCGACGTATTTAATACCTCGAAGTCAGCAACGATACTCGCAATTCCACTGTAACGGCCAAGGCTTTTTCTGATGACCTAGTTTATCCAGAGGCGGAAGATATGGTATGGGAGGTCTAGCAGCAAATAATGCCAAAAGATTTGACGGTAAAAACGCGGTCATTTCGACTATAAAATTAAAATATTCGCCAACTCTGCCAGTTCCAACGAAATAAGAACACAATAACGAGTGAACAAGTCAAGAGGGAAACATTACATCCCGGGCGGAGAGAGAGGGTGCGTCTGCGATGCATTATGGTCAGTGTAGTGGATAAAATGGTATTATTCAACTAATCCCATTTATCCAATGATTTATTCATGAACTGTAATAACAAATAATGTTGTGATTACAGTTCACTGTTTTATAATTGAAAATGATAAAAGATAAGATTAGAGGGTCAGCAAAAAACGATGTACATGTTGTATGAGTTCATGCTACGTAATTGATCGCTGAATACGAAAACTTTTTTCTGCACTCGTCAAAAGCAGGTATGTTACGTATGTATTCTCCTTCGTATTTACTGTTTTGTATTTAAACTGTAATCAATTTTGACTTTAAGTTAAGCAACTGAATTAAGAAACTACAACCATGCTTTCTTTAGAGTGTATAATGCAAAAGGTTTGTGTTGTTACAGAAATGGAGGACGTTATGACAGTTGTGCTGCTTTATGCTACCATTCAAGTTTCATTTCTTCTAAATCCAGCACAATCATTGAAGCACTTTATGACTGTCTGCCTGTTTCCTGCAAACTTATTTAATGTAAAGATGATAAATGTATTATTTGTATTGATATCAATGCCAATAATTTTAGCATGGACAAACAAAATAGTTGGATAGGGCAGCAGAAAAGTCTAATTTTAAACAGCTCGAATGGAAAACTGAAAGCATTTGTCGCATCCAAGCCAGTCTTCACCATCATTATCTTTGCAGATTTTGCAAACACCGGTATTTCGTCTACAGCAAAACAAAGAAATGAATTTAAAATGAATTTAAGTTTCTCATCCACTGTATAATGCTTTAAAGACTTTGGTTAAAACATACTCATGAATATCATCATAGCAAGAGCCAAATATGAGTGATATTAGTTTCTCTCTCTCTAATTCCATTTTAAAATTTCTGTTTAGGCTTGAATTTTCACAAATACACCTGCATGATCTACAATTACAATTCAAAAACTGCATGATCTACGAGAACATGTATTGTAATTCATTCTATAGCTGAGTTACAACATCTGCGCGATCATTGTTTTTCGTGTTTTCCAATTAACCCATTTTTGGAAAAAACGATATTTTCAATTAAGTATGTTAAGTGGGATTATTCAAGCGTATTTGCGTCGTCGGGATCTTATTTCAAGCAACACATGTATTTGTCCAAAAACTCTGACCAGCCGACAATTTAAAAAATATAATATAAAACAAATTCTGAAAAACAGGACATCTCTTCAGATTAAAATATCAATCAAAACAAGACGAGAAGTGAACTGTAAATTTTCGACTTATTTCAAAGTCATCCTCAGACACGTATTTCAGGAACCCTTTGCTTGCGGCCTAACTAACATTAGCATGATTGGTTTCATGTTATCCGTGTTCATTTAAGTTGTTTGGATGTAAGATTGACGAAGTCAAACATAACAGTTTACGGCTTTTATGTACGCACTTACTTGCTTGAGTAAATCTCTTATTACTCATCTCTTACTAATGATTTTCGACGGTAACAAAGCTAATAGAATTAATTGTTTGAAGTTTCTGCAAAACAATTGGCTTCATTTTTCCCATCAGTAATGATAAACACAATCATTTTCAATGTTCACGCCATCGAAATGTTCATTAATGTAACAAATCTAAACTTTTCATTGCATTTATCTCATCCATGATTTTATTCGAAGGGAAAAGGCACTTAAAACGAATATGGTGCTTCACACTATATCAATGATTATTATACGTAGTATGCTTAGGGTTTTCAAAGACATCAATAATTATCAACTATGATCCACTACACTGGACCATAATGCATCGCAGACGCACCCTCCGCCCGGGATGTAATCATTGAGCTCTATAAGAACTGGAGGGGCAAGGCCTGGACCCGTGGTCAAAAACATGGCGGTAATGGCGGATTTTGGTCAAACTTCCACTTTGAGAAAATTTTTAACATTCGCCCTCCCGAATCCGAACTCTATTACTGCTATATCAATGACAACCAGCGAAAACAACCACGATACCGTAAGCATAAAATATTGAAAATAATGCTTCAGATTTTAGAAATAGACACACATTTAAATGAGGTAAATCAAATATAATAGCGTATATGTTGTCAGTAATGCTTTAGCTGTTAGAAATAAATATCAAACGGCATTCTTTACACTGTCAATGTGTCGTTAAGCTTTAATGCATAATCCCATGCGCAATACTTGTGTTTTTGACTATTTTTTTAACAGCTTCGTGCAACTGTCTTCTTGAATAGATGAGTAAATATTAGTTAAAATGTCCAATTAGAAAAAAGTTAGCAACTCTACGACTTAAGTCGACTGGAAATATATTATTATAAGTAGGTATGTATTTTTTGAGTTTTTTTTGGTAGGATTGATTCTGGGTGTCTTATAAGGTATTATGATATTCTGATAAATCTACTGAGAACTTATGAAGAAAATATCTCGAACTAGGAGAGCAAAAGAACAAAATTCAAAAATTCTATAATCATGTTGCTGGTCTGTTTTGAGCCAAGATATTAGTAACTGGATTGTCATTGACAACCATGGATCTACTATTGAACAGAACTACATTAATTTCCCATTGAAAATACGATTTTTAAATTAAAGTGCATTGGTTTCTCTGACATAACACTTTTCTTATTGCTGCATGAAGGCAAACCTGTTTAAATAATTATAATGTAGGTGAAGATATTTAGCATGTTGTATAATTGTTATTATACAGACATTATTTATAATATTATGGCCTTGTGTAATGTATGTCAAGAACTTATTAATTCTCAAAAATGCTAACCTTCTTGCACTACTTTTCTCTTGTGTCCTTACAAATTACAGTTACCTATACTAATTTTTCTAGGTTCAAACAACTTGACAAATTTTTGAATTTTACATTATGCCTTGAATTTTTCTTTTGTCTTTGTAAAAATATCAGTAATGACTTAAAATCAAGTTTATCTAAAATAGTATTTTGTACAAAATAACTATACATAATTGAAAGTCTCATGTTGAAGGCCGATGTACTTCTTTGACTAGATTGCTACTCTTATTCTTTTAAATGATATCGTAATTCTTCAAAAGACATAAAAGTTCTTTGTCATCAATTTTGCTTCTTCCACATTCAACTTCATTGCAACCAATGCATCTTATGTGAATTTTAATCACCTGAATTGAAAACATATGGACTTTGTCAGATGATGCAGTACTGTATTTAATGTTTCATGCATGTCATGATAAGCTTTGCTTGAGCAAATATTTCAAGGTAGGAGCAAAATTGCACATTATTGAACAAAGTAGTTTTTATCTTGATTTTGATGTACTAACCTGTTTACTACACTGTGTAACAAACAATTTATTTACAGAAACACCAGATGGCATTCATAAACTTTTAGCATAAAAGCAAACCATTTACCACCATCATCATGATTGTCCATAATCTGTCAAATTGTCCAGGCTAGCTGTTTAATACAGGTATTTTTATTGTACGACATGTACCAAAGCTCATTAATTAATCTTGCACTGCATTTGATTTCAATACAGCTCTGTCCTTAATATTTGCTTCATATTTTCAGAAAAATATCATGAAAATCCTCCATTTCAACTCAGTTGAAACAAGGAGTTAAGATATGCATATCTCGATAAGAACTGGTTGCTTTGCCTCGTCTAGCAAGCGATTAAGTAAAGAACAAATAAGAATGGATAAACATAACTTAAATTATAACTTAGAGTAAAAACATTCACAAATATATACAATCACACTTCAAGTATTGACTTAAAACAAACACTGAACACTTTAAATGGTAAACAATCTTACGTTGCTTACCGGTATCATGAAATGTTTCCTTTTCTGGCATTACTTCAGCATCCGTCTACCAAACAAGTTTGCAACATGTTTTAAAGATAAAATTTCTAAAGTTTTGTGTTTGGCATTGATATTTTATATAATCGCTATTGTGGTTGTCAAATCCGGGTGGGCGAAAAATTTCATTTTATGAGCCCGCGTCTTTCCGCTGACTTTGACAACCAAAGTACATATTTTTGACCACGCGGCCGCGCGCTGATAATTTATAGTAATTTTGTTGACGTTTCCTCCAGGTCTTTATAGAGCTCAATGATGTAATAAGCTCTGTCAAGAAGTGAGATTTCATTGAGTTGGCCGCGTACCATGGGTACTGTGGGGACACCATTGAACTGTAATATAAACTGGAACAATAGAGTCTTGGTGGTGACGTCAATGTTTCCATGGTGCTAAAAATTCAGTTCCAAACAAGCGCCCATTCGATTCAAAATGGAGACGTTATCCAAGCTTGGCTTTTTTTTCTTCTCAGAAGAAAAGAAATCTATAAAAAAGGGGGGAAACCACTTAAGTCAGATCACATTGAAGCATTTACTTACCAGAAGAGTGTTTTACGAGGAGAAGTACACGCAAGAATGAAAGAAAAGGTTTATAAAGTGACGGTGAATGCCAAATGTCAAGATTAAGTTTTAGACTGTTTTTGTTGCCCAAATGAACAGAGGGCGTGATTTTCTTTGTAGTGAAATAAAAAGGCTTTTAATGAACGATTTGTTTTAAAAATAATGATACTCGTCGGTTTTCAGTCCTCAATATGACCTACCACTGTTTGGTGTGAGGAGTTGTGGTAACAGGCTATACATATATTTGCATTTTATTAATAAACACAAGGATAACATGGTATTTAAAAGACATGGAAATATGGTACATCATTTAATGTTGTTTTCCTGGGGGAGGAAAATTCCCATAAAAGTGATGGATGCTCATGGGAAATGTTCAGAAAGACTCCTATGGGTAACTGTGGGCAGCTTGCTTTTATTTTTATCCCAAAAGACATCCATTGTAAAACATATGTCAAAACTTCTTTTAACTTCTGTTCTCCTAAACATGATAAAAGAATTCTCGCAGTGATCTAATTTGACACCTATGTACACCCAGGCTGTACCAGATGATAAATATTGTAATCCCTAGGAGGTAAAATCATCCCTTTACTGTTATATTAGAATGCTCCACCCCCACACCCTCTAGC